AGAGAGAGAGAGAGGGAAAGAGAGAGAGAGAGAGACAATATTTTAATGGGATTTTTCCTCAAACTGATAGCTCCTCTTTTATTTTCCGATATTTCAGCTTCCCCGTGAGACTCGCGCGATCCGGTTCGATATTATCCCGATCTGATCTCATAGTCCTCTCACATATAGTCATCAATCATAAAACACGTCTCGAAAGTGGAACAACGATCCTCCCCCTTATCCTCTTCCTCATTCTCATCCTCCTCAACCTAACCACCCACTCACCCACCAACACTCACCCTCCGGCGAAATATCGAAAGATCCTCATTGACGTTTAGTTCGACGTTCGAAAGCAGAAGTCAGAGCAACCATGGTAAAATGCTAGCGGATCAAACGAGAAGGTGAAATAGGAACGATCAAAGGAACGATTTTGAATCGAACCGAAAAACCGACCGACCGACCGACCGACCGGCCATCCGATCGACCAACCAACCAACCAACCACATACTCCAGTCACAGGAACTACCTACATCCCTAAGATTAGAAGCTTCGGCGAATCACCTTGACGAGCAAATAACTTGCCGTCGTAACTCGCGTTAGATTTCCCTCGACCTCGATCGTTTACGAGTGGCTCGTGGTTTTACTCCTATCGAATGTCCCATCGAGAAGGCAACGTCAAAGCTGAAAATACTTGTCCTGTTCGATCAAATGTTCTCCATCGAAAGAAAGAGATGGAAGAGAGATGATGGTGGTTTAAAAAATTCTCTCTCGAAAATTTTAGATGCGTTTTGATTTAAAAAAAAAAAAAAAAAAAAAAAAAAAAAAAAAAATACAAAAATAAAAGAAAAAAAAGAAATAAAAAGGAGGATCAAAAACTTTAATGACGCCAACGAAATTCTTCGCTTTCGTTTCTTTTTCTTTTTTTCGTTCGTTTTAATTCTTATCATATAGATTTTACAACGACAAAATAGGTCACTCTTCTTTAATACATTTTCTCAATGAAATATAACGTCACGTTTCTTGATTATAATTCATTCTATCGTTGTGAACTTAAAAACGAGTCGGAGAATGTGTTCCCTTTGTGTTTAAATGGTTTATTTTTCTTTATGAAAATATACGAAACCGTGTACCGATCATTTCCACGTTTCGTTGCACGATGCACGCTTATAATCGCAACTGCAGTCATAAAAATGAGACGAAATTATCGCGTGAGACACGCAGCCTTTTACGCGGTGAATACAGCTTTTTAATCTACACACACACACACACACACACACACATACACACATACACATATACATATATATATATGTGCATACACGTGTACATGCATATAATATAAACACATAAGTATAGGACATACATATTAAAGTAAAGGTGACTTGTCAAAACGCGACAAGTGAACTTCTGATCAAATTGACCGATCATTTTTATCATAATCTTTAACATTCTTACAGCAACGTTATAAATGATTAATTACAAATTTATCATAGGACAACATTTATACTCGGTATACTTAACGATAATGAATTGTTCAATTACGTTATTAACCGTAAAAGATAAAAAAAAAAAATTTAGAATTATTTGAAAGTTACAACGCAAATGCAATGGCAGACGCATCGAAGACGCATAAGCGAGATGGTGAGTGAACTAGTTAACACGAGGAAAGAAGAAGAAGTGAACTTGTCTACGTACATACGAACCGATCAGACAGATTGAAACTGTCAAACTTTCGACAGAGAGTTCAAACTTTCCTGCCATGCCTTCCGGGCATTCTGTTCTCTGTCCGACACACTGTTTGCGGTATCATGTAACTCCTCTTCCTTTTTTTCTTCTTTCTTTCTTTTCCTCTCCCTCTCTGTCTCTCTCTATTTTCTTTTCTCTCACTCAAATTCTCAATCAATCACAAGATTAATCCATAAGCATTTACGTATGCGAAAATACGTATATTATTAATTGTATTTAAAGATATTAGAATGTTATAACGTTATTTATTAAAATGTTGTAAGAAAATGTTGTATATAGAAAAACGATATATTGGTCGATGCGCATGAGGTAGAAACTATATATTAATATATACGTATGTATATTTTATATGTACATATTCAATTCGTGAGAAAATATTTTTCAAAGTTAACGATTCTCTATTGAAATCGTACATCGTGAAAATAAAAAATTTGATAGGCGAATAAAAACTCCAAAGTGCACGAAAAATGCAGTATGCTTGATCGATAAGGTAGGAATCTGAAGCTCAATAAATTATTGTTTCTCGCGTATCGTGTTTTCTTTTTTTTTTTTCTTTTTTTCTTTTTTTTTTGAGAAACTTTATTTATGAAAAAAATAGACATTCGATAATTGAAGTTTTTTTTTTTTCGTTAAAACGTTATTTTATTATAGATCTAAGGATTCTTTATTCTATTAACAAAATGGATTTAAACTTTCAATATTTCCAGACAATTTTGTTTCATAAAAATCAACTATGATTAATGTAAAAATATAATATATAAATCGTGTCTATAAATTATAATTCGTAGTAAAATAAAATATATTATAGAATAGATAACCTGTATGTTAAGAATTATTATCTAATATGTTAAAACGTTATTATATATTATACTTAATACGTGAATTAATAAATCATGTAAAATTATACCATATTATATATGTATATATATATATTTATATATATTTATATCATGCAATACGTAAAGTATTTATTAATTCACTTATTTAAGTTTAAATAATTTCAATGGATTTATTTTTAAACGAATTAATTAAAACTTTCCGTATCGTGAAAATAAAGTATGTATATATATATATATATATATATATATATATATATATATATAAATAGTATAGTATAATATAGTTTTATAAAATACATATACATGTACAATATATATCCACAATTGTAAAGAATCAAAAAGCAAATTGGTGTGAAATTCGTCTATCGTAAAAGAAGGATCAAACGGAAATAGAGATAATTTTCGCTTACGAGGTTCGAACAATCGAATTAACCCTTGATAATCGAATGCTATGTCTCTCCCCTTTTGATATTGTCTGGCGAGTCACGTAAAAGGAAGTAGGACAAAATGGGGAACAAATGGTAGTGTGGTAAGAAAGAATCTCGAAGCTCTTCTAATATCACTTCCACGAACTTTCGATATATTCTATCTGGTGATACACACGAACAAAAAAGGAACATAACAGTCGCTTCAATAATTTGTTGGGTTAGTAAAGAATAGAAAAGAACGAATCTCTTAAGCTCTTGTAAGATACTTTGAAGATAGTAGATGGTAGATAATAAAGGATGATCTTATAAGAAGAGTTGGTATCTTCTGTACTTGTTCTTTGTTAAATGAATCTACTGGTTGTATGTGTATGAGTATCTATGTGAAACGTGACATGTATCAAAGTATGTTATACTAAGCAGGACGATTTAAGGGCAACATGTATATGTGAGAAGGCGTTTTGCAAGAGAATTAGGTCGATCCTAGTATCCAGCATATAGACCAGTTAGCGTTCGAGGTAACGGCGCATTGGATAATTTCCCTAAGCACACGCTCGTCGAACGAGTTGATCTCGATGCGACATAATCTTCGAAATCGGTTCGATGTGTGTAGATATATGTTGGTACATACGAAAACATACAGATAGATACATATATATATATATATATATAGAGAGAGAGAGAGAGAGAGAAAGAGAGAGATATATAGATGTATCTATATATCTGTCTCTATCTATGGACGTAGATATGGACGTAGATATGGACGAAATTTAAGCGTCTCTAGAGTGGTAGGAAGATACCATTACGGTTGGGGAATCAATTAACGAGCTTTCCTCTATAATTGTTCACGATGCGTTCTGGTCAGCAAAAGTAAGGATAGCTACGAATTATAACACTATTTAGCATAATCTTATTCTAAGGAACGAATAATATTATATTCGTGTGCTTATCGTATCGTATAGTTGGCGAAATGGTTAGACAATCAACTGTCAGACAATTCTGGCCAATTCATTCAAAATCAAAACCCAACGATGGGTCATAGAGAGTCGATCGATAGATACGATAGAGGGAGGATCCAATGATCAGTGAGCTATACTAGCTACTGCTTTAGAGGTTCGCGATAGCAATGCGTAAATAATTACGTTACCCTATTCCGTGGCACGTAATACGCAATGAATACCAGTGTACACCCACCGCACTAACGATATTACTGTCACGTTCATTCGACGATCTATTTAGTTTAGGACAACGATGCCCGCATTAAAATTTATCCCAATTTCCATCTATCAAACGAACCGGCTATCAATGTAAATGTCATGCTTTTATACATATGTATCCGTGTTACATACATATATAATATTAGATATATTAAATATTTATATAGAGAGTGAACCAAAAGTTCCTAGATGGGTCAAATGTAATACCATCGTGGTATTTTCCGCAATATATATATATTTTTTTTCTTTTTTTTTCTTTTTTTTTTTTTTTTTTTTGTCAAATCATAAAACTACAAGACTAGGAGTAACTCTTTCGGTTGGTCGGACAAAAAATTCTCGAAAAAGTGTAATCGAATTGTTAAAAAAATCATCGATGAATTTTCGAACCATGTAGAAATTTTCGCTCCATTCTGTATGTATATATATATATATATATATATATATATATATATATATACATATGTATATATTCGTTACGTTGTATTCACAATATTCTCTATCTCGATCGTTAATTTGTCCTCAAGATAAGCTAAAGACTCGGATTACGTGTGCAGTTCTATCCGGCATGACTATACATATACGTAAACATAAATAGAGAGTTATATAGAAACGTGCATGCCTAAAGCTTTACGTACAAAGTAATTACATACAAATAAAAGAAATATGTGAGAAACATTGTGAAGTAAAAAAATAAATAAATAAATAAATAAATAAATAAATGAAAACAAAAGACAAAAAGAAAAGATAAAGAAAAAAAGGAAAAATGGGAAATGAAAAGTTAACAATTAACGAACCTCTTGAACCTTCCTATGAACGATGATTTTATGCCATTGGTTGTCGTCGAACCTAATTCTGGCTGGTTTGATATGTAGATCGAGTCTCCCTTTGGCCAAAGTCATCCCAACGGCGACACCACCGTCCCTAAGAGACACGGTTAGGTAATCGTCTCCTACTCCTAAAACAGAAACACCATCGTATGCATATTTGTATCTATAATATATAGATATGTACATATTTATGTATATTATACGTGTATCGAGTCTAAATCTCCAATGGGTTCTTCCATTTTGTCAGGTTAGAAGAAAATGGAGAATGGAGAATGGCGAAGAAGAACGGAGTTGGGCGTGCTAACGGAAGATATAGGTAGGAGAGGGGATGGAAGGCGTGGGAGGATAGGAGTCGACGAGTCGGTTGCTTTTAAAGCACACGATCGTGATCGTACGCTGATTATTCCACGGATCTGTGGTTAGAGCTTACTTATAAAAGATGCAGACGGTACTTTGGGCTTAATTGCCAGTCTACCAGCGGGAACGCATTTGCATGCGCCTAAGTTTATTCACGCGTGTATCGTCGACGTTTAACGGGAATCGTTCTAACTCTGACGAAAAAAAAAAAAAAGGAAAAAGAAAAGAAAAAAAAAATAAGGAAAGGAAAGGAAAGGAAAAGAAAAAATAAAATTATTTGATTTAGTACTCCTCCTCGGATAAGCTTTTTCAGTCAGGTTTGATCTGAAATAAGAAATGCGCCTGGTTGCACGTGATAGTAGACAAGACGTATAAATCCAAGATTTATAGGATAGGTATACTTGCTCGGGCGTTGAGAGATGAGTTTAAAAGTTCGCCTGAAGTATCCAAACTCCGATGTAAGAGATTATTTACGATACGTCAGAGTAGTAGGTAACCGTACAGTTCCGCTCGTATCCTCCACGTTGTATGACAACGGGTTTAAAAGTGTTACGTGTTTACGTTCACGTCAAGATCGTTTACGGTTGATTATTATACGTTTTCGTTTCTTTACGAAGTCGATGGATATTAAAAAAAAAAAAAAAAAAAAAAAAAAAGAAAAAAAATAAAGAAGAAAAGAAAAAAAAAAAGAAAAAAAAAAAGAAATGCGAATTAAAAAGTAATCGCGTTATCTTTAAACACGCCTTCCATGATAAAATTTTTACACTTTCAAATATTACATATCTACGTACGTATACATATAAATTTCCTATATCTATCATACATTTATTAATGCATTTACTTTTATTACCGTATTTTATTACCGTCCGTATAAATTTGCATATATATATATATATATATATATATATATATATATATATATATATATATAAAGGACACAGATATATATGTAAAAATATAAAATCGAGGCATCACCTCTAACTCTGATTTCTCTGAAGTTAAAATCATATAGAAGGTAGGTATATATAATCTTTTTATATTGCACCACGGGGACTCTGAATTTGTTTCGTCCATCCTATTCGACATAGTAGTCGCATTGCAGTCGGTGATCCCTAAGCTCTCGTCTTGTCGGTAGTCACGTCTCGTTCATGTCGAGAGAGAGAGAGAGAGAGAGAGAGAGAGAGAGAGAGAGAGGAAGATGGAGGGAAGGATGAAGTAAAGGAGAGAGGTTTAGCCGTGTCTTTTGCCGTTCGAAAGAGAAAACCAGCCGATACTCTTCGCTGGAGTTCTGGGCCAAGCAAGCAGGTAGAAGGTAAAAGGTTAGCGAAGAGAGAGTTTAAGAGGTGGCCAAAGGTAGGGATGAAGAGAGAAGGGGGCATATGGGCGTGTGGTGGGGGAGTTTGTGTGGAATGAGATGGAAGGGTTGCACCTTCGCCGCAGCTGCAACTGCATCGCACGACTCGAAAGCAATATATATCGCCATGGCCGACGATACGATGCGCGTTCCGCAATGCTGTATCGCATACGGTACAAGCTCCGCTTTACTTCGCTGCGTTGCATCCGCAGTATTCTCTTTCTCTCTCTCTCTCTCTCTCTTTCTCTCTTTCTCTCTCTCTCTCTCTCTCTCTCTCTCTCTCACTCTTTCTCTCATGGCCGCAACGCTAATTTGTTCTCAAGATAAGCTAAAGACTCGGATTACGTGCGCGGTGGCCGGCATGGTTTTGTCCAATGGTAATTGCAGCATCCTACCCATCCCATTCGTTCTTCAACTTTGTTCCCGTTGTCTGTACGTATTCATGTATGTGCATATTTATTTATGTATATATATATATATATATATATATATGGTTGTGTATATGTGTGTATGTGTATGCATGTATATAAACAGAGCAAACATTCCAATCGAGGCGCAACTCCCTTTTGAAACTCTTTCCATATCTCTCTTTCTCTCTTTATCTCTATCTTTCATCTACTTACGCATCGATCTTTTTCTCTTTTTTTTTTCCTTTTAGCTTTTCTTTTTTTTTGTTTGTTTTTTAACTACTGCCTCCTTCTCTCTCTCTCTCTCTCTCTCTCTCTTTTTTTATTTATCCTCTTCACGCGCAAGCAAACATCCTTATTTCTCTCTGTAGAAGCTTTTCCAACCAACTTTCCACGTTTTGACCCATAAAACTTCGTATTAGTATGCCATCTATATCGAAAGGATATCTTTTTCGTATCTGTTATATAGGATGTCTTATCGGGTGTTTTGAACCAATGAAATTTTTATATCTATCGATATATTTTCTATTTTTTCTTTCTTTCTTCCTTTTCTTTTCTTTTTCTTTTTTTCTTTTTTTTTTTTTTAAGATGTTCTCTTTGTCGATGTTTTTATTCGAAAAAAAAAAAGAAGAACTTTCATTAATATCACAGAGATATCATTCTTATTTATATCTACGTAAGCAACAAGATTATATTCAATATGAATATAATTTCTAAGATTGTAAACGGATTTGAAAAAGAAGACGAGTTATATTTTAATATATAACACGTTTATGTGAATTTTAAATTTTAATTCTCAGGACTATAACGTAGAAGAGAGCCGCGCTTGTCATCGGTATTCATGTGACATCATAACTCGGAGATACGGGGAAATAGCTTTTCGACCTTCCGGAAAATACATATATAGGTATAAGAACGCATATAGAATCTTATATAACGGGAACTGTCACATACACACACATACACACACTCGTATCTACCTATTTATTCCTAAATGTCTACATAATACAATGTGTTTTTTCTTCTATGATTCTAGGCTCATAAAACACTCTATAGTATCGATCTCGATAACGTACGTCATGATAAATACGAGCACCCATACTATCATAAAAAAAATGCAAACTGATACATACACACACACACACACACACACATGCTTATTCATATGTATTCCTAAATATATGATTCAATGTACTTTTTCCTTCTTTATTTTTTCTTTTTTTCTTTTCTTTTCTTTTCTTTTTTCTTTTTTTTTTTTTTTTATAATTCAAAACTTACAAGACACCCTATAAGTTTCGATCTCGATACTTACATCAGAATACTTATGTATAGGATCGATAAAAACACGAACCCATCATACTTTCTTTACAAAACGTTACAACGTTACACGTCGGATCGTTGAATGTATCCGATCGAGGAAAGTAATATCGCAAAGACGATAGGTACACGATGGAGATGATGCACGCTTCGACGCGTCCCGAAGGACTCGGCCTCCTTCGAAAAGCACATAGGCTTGTTTGTTTTTCCTGGATGCGCCAGTTATACGATGTACCTACATGCGTACATATATGTCTTTTACATAGGCACGAAATAAGAACAGAAGAAAGACGCGGTTTATGCGTCCTGATTTTTTTACGACGTCGAAACGTCAAGCAACGTCGGGTATTCTCTACGGTTTTGCTACTTCCAATCGGGAGACCTTCGACCTCCATCATTGTGATTGCATGTCAAAGATAAAAGCCAGTGTACATACGTTCTTCGATCTTTTTCTTTGTTTCTGTCCGTTTCTCTCCCTCTCTCTCTCTCTCTCTCTCTCTATATATATATATATATATATATATATATATATATATATATATATATCTTTTTTTGTATTTTCATTTTCCACGAGATCCAATACCCATGAGATTATGCGAAAAGGAAATTAGAATTACTATTCCCCACTTTGGTTACCGAATTTTAAATATGCAATGAGGAATATTACGTTTAATATGGACGAGGTCGACGCGCTTAAAAACAACGAAACTTAATTAACGCGTACCGCATTTTAAGAAAAAAAGATAGAAATAAAAATAGAAATAGAGAGAAAGAGAGAGAGAGAGAGAGAGAAAGTGTGTGTGTGTGCATACGTATATACGTATGCTAAATTTAATGCATAATGTTGTTAATCAGTAACGTAAACCTCGACGGAAAGATACTGACGTATTATTTAGTCTATTCGAGAAAATAAAATCGTATAGGTATATATGTGTATGTATGTTTTTATGTATGTACATATATATATATATGTATGTATTTATACACCGTAAATACTTACCGGAGTAAAAGAAAAGTCCATTAGGTTGTCTCGTCTTAAATTGAAGTCCTACGGATTCCTGAGTACTTAATATGGGATCCCCTTTGCTTAGATCTATCGTAAGGTATTCTGTTCCACGAAATGACGCCTCCGAGGGTACTTTGT